TTGTGAGGCATAACTTCAAAACTGCATGACAGAACCTTACAACTACGAGGAAAAAAAAAGTCTGGATTGTGAGATAAAAAGTTGCAATTGCCTTTTTTAAATACTGAAAAAAAATGTATGAAAGGAAAAGCACAGAGAGTATTTAATTCACAGTGGAGCGGATCCCTCAAAAACTTGTGTTTTCCTCCCCAAGGGTCTCTGCTGGTCAGAGAAAAGGGTAGAGAGACCCTTGGAGAGCATATTTTTCAACTTAGAGATTGAAATGTGATAAGGATTTTAATGAGGAAAAATGACCTGAAAGATGTTCTACCACTGCATAGATCTGTCTCTCCACATGAACTGCATATATGGACTGCGGTGGCAGAGCAACAAATGCAAAGAGGCAATTTTCTGTGGCAGTTCCTGACATTAACACAAGCTGGCAGCTCAGACATTGAGCCACTCTGGTATTCCCACTAAGTAGCCATGGAGGGAGCCAGCAGCCTGATTGATGAGACCTTAATGAAGAGTCAGTCAAACCCTGTAACATCATTAGCTGCTGCTGGAACACTCAGGCCTTGACCAGGATAAAAACTGGCAGTGGACCGTAGGTGTACTTGACAGGTAAAAGTGACACCACCTGCCGATACACAACCTGATCCTGGATGCTGGTAGATTGATGGGGAAACATCAGGACTACAGGTAAACAAGAGACCTTTGAAACATGGCTTTGTTCCTTCAGTTGTTTTCATGCACAATATAGGGTGTGATGAAAAAAGGTGGAAGTGTCACAACAAAATACAAAGGAGATGCATCTACCCATCTATCTCTATCTGTCTGTCTGTCTGTCTGTCTGTCTACCTATCTATCTATCTATGTATCTATGAACCTTTATTATAATTAAGCACTAATCAAGCAAATAATTAAGCACCAATAAGTGACAATAATTGAGCACTAAATCAGCATTTATTTTAGCATTTAGCTTTTCATCACAGAAATAAATTACATTTTACAATATATTCACATAGAAAACAAAGTGTGAAAGTGTGGGGTGAGAGTGCAAGGCCAAAAGAAGAACTCGGTGTTGGTAAGCTTTTGCCCCCAAAAGCAAACCTCAGGCACTTCCTGTGATGAGGAAGGATGGAGACATGTGTATCTTTTAGATCGACCGTGCCAAACCAGTCCTCAGACGATCTGAGACACGACTTATTTGAGTGCGAGCGTGCTGAAATACAGTTGCCTGACTGAGCGGTTCAAATGACGCAGATCTAAAATAGGACGCCACCCTCCATCCTTCCTCAGAACGGTGAAGTACCGACTGTAGAACCCGGACTCTGCTACGTGAGGAGGGACCACCTCGATGGCCTCCTTCCTCAAAAGAGTAACTACTTCTGTTCCATGACCAGAGCCTGCTCGGGACCCACCATAGTGGGGATGACCCCGTTTAAACTGAGGCGGAGGAGAACTGGATTCTATAGCCTCACTCTACAGTGTGCAGGACCCACCCACCGAGACACGTTAGTCTACTAAGGGAATCAGTCTCTCGAGACTGACCTCTGGTGTAATCAGAGCGGCTAGCTCGGTGCCCTGAAGCGGCGAACCGGCAGGGGATGGCCGTACTAGCTGCTCTAGAGACCTCCGTGGAGGTCGCGAGCCTCTTAGCACCGCTACGTTTCCGGGCGGTAACCGAGAGACGCGCTTGCCGGAGACCGCTGCGCCCTGGAACACCGGCAGGGTTGGAGGACCGATCTCCTGAGGGCACTGAGGAGTGACGGGCACAGTGTAATGCAAGCATACGCAGTGACAAACGACTCTGACTGCGTGTTTTGCTCCCAAGCAGACAACACACAAACTGTGTGTATCCCCACCTGAAATGTAGCGCAGGCAGGGAAGAACACACAGCCTGAGATGCTGCCCGCTCTCACCGTGTGTTTGACTACACTCGTATTGGTAAAATAAAGAGTGATAATGGACAGCCAACACCAAATAAGACTGACACACACACAGAGCGCTTGCTGAATGACAGAAAGCTGACGCCAGTTCCACCGCACATGCTTTTTTGCTTCCTGGTCGCTAGGTCACCCCGCCTGTGACGTCTCGCCCATCCATTGGACTGATTACACATGTGATTCAGAGCGTGGTCATGCTGGAGGTGTTCCCGTAGTGTTTCGACGCAGCTCGAATTCCTGAAGGGGAATCTGCATTGTTAATTATTTTGATCTTTTATTTAAAAAATTCACATAAATCTAACCTTTCATTGGAGAGTAAGAATTTCAAATGGGGGGCAATATCATTATGACATAAATGTTTTTCTCTAATACACATTGGACACAATTAGTGGCACCCTTTTATTCAATGCTTTTTGAAACCTCCATTTGGCACAATAACAGCTCTGAGTTTTCTTATATAATGCCTGATGAGGTTAAAGAGCACCTGACAAGAGATCAGAGACAATTCCTTCATCCAGAATATCTCCAGACCCTTCAGATTCCCAGCTCCATGATGGTGCTTCTCCTCTTCAGTTCACCACACTCATGTTCTATAGGGTTCAGGTCAGAGGACTGGAATGGCCATAGCAGAAGCTTGGTTTTGTGCCAAGTGACCCATTTTTGTGTTGTTTTTAAGGTTTGTTTTTGGATTATTGTCGGGTTGGAAGATCCAAACATGGCCCATAATAAGATTTCTAACAGAGTCAGTCACTTTTTGATTTAGTATCTGTTGGTATTTGATAGAATCAACAATGCCATATATCTAAACAAGATGTGCAGGACCTCCAGCAGAAATATAGGCCCACAACATTAAAAATACAGCAGTATTTTCACTGTGTGCACCAAACCCATCTTGAGTGTTTGTTGCTAAAAAGCTAATTTTTTTAGTTACATCTGACCATAGAAGCCAGTCCCATTTGAAGTTCCAGTCATGTCTGACAACAGAATATGCTGGGGATTGTTTTTGGATGAGAGCATTTTCTTTTCTTTTCTTCCTCCCAGACAACATGTGGTGTAGGTGCTGTTTGATTTTTTTTTTAAGGTTTTCTGACCCTGAGACTCAACTATTTTCTGCAATTCTCCAGCTGTGGTCCTTGGAGAGTCTTTAGCCACTCAAACTCTCCTTCTCACTGTGCATTAGGACGATATAGACACACGTCCTCTTCCAGGCAGATTTGTAACATTTTCTGTTGATTGGAAATTCTTAATTATTGCCCTGATGGTGGAAATGGGAATTTTCACTGCTTTAGCTCTTTTCTTAAAGTCACTTTCTAATTTGTGAAAATCAATCATCTTTTGCTGCACATCAGAAATATATTATTTGTTTTTTCTCATTGTGATGGATGATTAAGGGCATTTGGCCTTTGTTTTCCCTCCTATTTATATTCCTGTGAAACAGGAAGCCATTGCTGGATGATTTCATGTTCATAATCACCCTGGTATGCTCAAAATTGTAAATATGAATGGAAATATACTTCACAGATATTTTACTCATAAGAATTTCTAGGGGTGCCAATAATTGTGTTCAATGTGTATTTGAGAAAAACATTTATTTCATAATGAGATTTTCCCCCATTTTCAATTGTTTTAGTTCAATGAAAGGTTAGATATTTGTGATTTTTTTTTTTAAATAAAATATCAAAATGATTAACAATGCAGATTTATTTTCACAGCCTTCTTTGATCATATTTACCAAGGGTGCCAATAATTCTGACCACAACTATATATATATATATATTCAGTTTTTGCAAATAATCATCTTATGTTCATATCCTAGTTTCCAATAAGATACAAGATGAAAATTCTGAAATTTCAATAACTGGTTTGGCAGTCTCCAGCACCTCCTGAAGGAAGACACAATATGCTCACCATGGGATCTCCCTCAAATTACACACTCTGTTTTCATTTGCACCATACCATGTGACCTGTTCCTATGTTTTCATCCTGATACATTAGAGCCATTATGAGGTGACTTTCATGAAAAGCCATTAATTTATTAAGACTCAGAAGCCAGTTGAGAATAAGTAATACACCTGGTTTTAGTATGAAAAAAGACAGCCTCATACAGCCTTTTTGTTCCATTGCTACAGTTATACCAAGTTTGGAACCAGAGTAACATCCATTAATGTAATGTAAAAGAACTATTTAACCATCAGTGTTGCCAGTAATTGCAGCACCCATACAAAAGACTGCTAAAAGCTCCAACTGCCTTTGAAATCCAGAAATATACGATGGCTTGCTCTCTAATGTTATGTCACTGGAGTGTTCATATTGAGAGTAAATAGTCTTCTGCTATTTATATATTTATGTAGTACTCTGTTAGTCACACATAATAATGTGCCATATTTTGTTCATTGCTTTATTTTAAAAAAGGTGCACAATGCAAGTATCTATCTATCTATCTATCTATCTATCTATCTATCTATCTATCTATCTATCTATCTATCTATCTATCTATCTATCTATCTATCCATCCATCTATCCATCCATCCATCCATCCATCCACCCATCTATCAGAAGTTAGAAGCTTAGAAGCATTAGAAGCTTTCTTCAATTATAAAACATTGCGAAACTTAAACCTTTTCTGTCTGTTAATGATTTGGAAGTTTTTGTTCATGCTTTTATGACTGTAAAGCACTTTGTCCAACATGTGTGACTGTCTGACTGACTGTCTGACTGATTGACTGACTGACTGAAAATGTTATATGAGACTTCAGTTTCAAATAAAGTTTTTATTTTCCACAAAAATATTAAGTAGCACAACAGTTTTCAACATTGATAACAAAAATAAATGCTTCTTGAGCAGCAAATCAGCATATAGAATGATTTCTGAAGGATTATGTGACACTGAAGATTGAGGTAATGATGCTGAAAATTCAGCTTTGCATCACAGGAATACATTATCTTTTTTTAAAAATATATATATAGAAATCAGTTTTTTAAAGTTGTACATTTTTACATTTGTAATAAGATTTCACAATATTGCTGTTTTTACTGTATTTTTATCAAATAGATACAGTTGCGAGTACTTACCTTGAGGAATGACAGGTTGCGGTTTCTTTCAATACTGGTGATCTCCAGATTACCCATGACCACCTCACAGTTCTCATAGAACTTGCGAAGAGTTTTGTACTGCTGGTCCAAATCTGACAGCGTGCTGAGCTTGTTATCAGTACCAGGACACACTATAGCGGAGAAAAAAAGAGAGATTGATCAGATCACTAAAACGGTTTTGCACCAGCAGTTCATTGAGTGGAAATATATACAGTTTGCAGTATATTGCCAAAATAAGAGAGGGATCATACAAAATGCATGCTCTTTTTTTATTTAGTACTGACCTGAATAAGATATTTCAAATAAAAAATAGTTGAATAGTAGCTTTTTATTTTAAATTATTATTATTGTTTGTTCGATTTGTGATACTTGTTCAGTAGTCCCTTGTTTGTCCTGAATGGTTTTTGGTTTTCCAGCATCTTTTGCATATTTGAACCCTTTCCAACAACGATTGTATGATTTTGAGATCCATTTTTCAGAAAAAAAAAAGAAAAGCTGTGTGTCACGAATCCTGTCCATGGACTTCCGTTCATTCACCACCAGAGGTCACCCTTTCCATTACATTGACTCTCGCACAACACAAACTGTTGCATAGCACCCCGGACTACATATCTCATCATTCATTGCACTGATTACACACTGCACTGATTGCACTGATTGCACACAGCTGTTTCATATCACTCACTGACTATATAACACCCACTCAAACAACCATTCTACGCTTAGTATTGTTTAGCCTGTATCCCGTTCCGAGTCTCTGTGTTTCCTTGTTTTGCCTTGCCTTGCCTTGCCTTGCCTGTTCTCTCAGTTTCTGATCTTTGCCTGTTTTCCTGGATTTTTCCCTCTCGTCTTGCCCCTGTGATTCTGTCTGCCGATCAGTGACCTACGCTAGCCCTAGGACTATTCTTGTGTTTTGCCCGCCATATACCTGTTTGCCATCGATCGACCCTGCCAGTGTTTGACCACTTCTCTTGTGAAATAAAGCTTGCACATGGATCCGCACGCCTCTCGTCTTGTCAGCCCCGTTACAGAATACTCAGCCCCACAAGGATCCAGCAGCTTTTCTAAAGGACTCTGGCCAGGTATGGACCCAGTCACCCAGCTACTACATCTTCGGCAAGGAGGCATTTATATTGAGGAGTATGTTCACCGGTTCTGTGTGCTATCATACCAAGTTCCACTGTATGATGAAGTTTTGTTTAAAGACTTGTTCCGTTGCCATATTATGTATGTAACCTACATGTGACTTATCAGGTCTTAATTATTTATTGTGTATGTATTTTTAATAATTATTGAATCGCTTAATGGTTCGTATTCAGGTTTGGTATGTGTGAGTTTGAGAATTCATGCTTGAAACGTTTCTTCCAATCACTTCTTTGTCAAATGGTTTTTCTCTCTCAGTGATATTGCTTAAATGTGGAGACTGAGGCAATAAACAAAAAAAAACTTAAATTGCAAAGAGTGTCCCACTTTCACTTTTCACCGGGGTTTAACACACTGAACACAAATGGCATGTAGTAAGATTAAAGGTGCGGATAAAGTACTGACACTCGACATATTTTGCCTACTTCAAAAAAAGGCATCCTAGAAACATTTCTGTTGGTAAATTTCCATTTAGTTAAAAGTTTTTAAATATGGAAGTAAATTTTTGCCTCAGGGTAAAAAAATAAATAAAGCTAACTGTGGCTGTGTGGTAGAGCATTTTGTTAACAGCGCAAAAGGTCGTGGGTTCGATTCCCAGGGAACACACATACTGGTAAAAAACGTATAACCTGAATGCACTGTAAGTCGCTTTGGATGAAAGCGTCTGCTAAATGCATAAATTATTTATTTAATAATTATTTTCAGAGATGAAAACCGGCTTCCAAAGTTTGAAAATATGCAAGCTGATGGTTTGCATGACTTCAATTTGATTTGTGCACCAGTGTTAATATCATTAACACAAACTAAAACGGTTAAAATTGTTTTCATCAATTGAATTAAAGCTGGAATAAATTAGTTGATTTTAAAAAAAAAACTTAAATGAAAAATGTTTAAGAAATTTTGTCATGGCAACTAACTCAAATAAAATAAGTTAAAATAAAATGAATTAAAGCTAACTAGATATTTTTAAAATATGAAAAATAATAATGATAAACCCAAACATTAACACATACAGTAAAATTACTAAACCTAAAATGAAATTTTTTCTCTCTCAGTGATATTGCTTAAATGTGGAGACTGAGGCAATAAACAAAAAAAAACTTAAATTGCAAAGAGTGTCCCACTTTCACTTTTCACCGGGGTTTAACACACTGAACACAAATGGCATGTAGTAAGATTAAAGGTGCGGATAAAGTACTGACACCCGACATATTTTGCCTACTTCAAAAAAAGGCATCCTAGAAACATTTCTGTTGGTAAATTTCCATTTAGTTAAAAGTTTTTAAATATGGAAGTCAATTTTTGCCTCAAGGTAAAAAAATAAATAAAGCTAACTGTGGCTGTGTGGTAGAGCATTTTGTTAACAGCGCAAAAGGTCGTGGGTTCGATTCCCAGGGAACAAACATACTGGTAAAAAACGTATAACCTGAATGCACTGTAAGTCGCTTTGGATGAAAGCGTCTGCTAAATGCATAAATTATTTATTTAATTATTATTTTCAGAGATGAAAACCGGCTTCCAAAGTTTGAAAATATGCAAGCTGATGGTTTGCATGACTTCAATTTGATTTGTGCACCAGTGTTAATATCATTAACACAAACTAAAACTGTTAAAATTGTTTTCATCAATTGAATTAAAGCTGGAATAAATTAGTTGATTTAAAAAAAAAAAACTTAAATGAAAAATGTTTAAGAAATTTTGTCATGGCAACTAACTCAAATAAAATAAGTTAAAATAAAATGAATTAAAGCTAACTAGATATTTTTAAAATATGAAAAATAATAATGATAAACCCAAACATTAACACATACAGTAAAATTACTAAACCTAAAATGAAAATTGAACATATAAAAATAAAAATCAATTAATTAATATTAATAAATACTGTAATAGTGAATAATAATAAATAATACTAAAATAACACTGTTGTGTACATCACTTATATCAGAGAGAGTCAGTTTATCATTCTTTTTTTTTTATTATGTTGCAGTTCCTAAAGTTACCGGATAACTAGTGTGTTTTATTTACTCGCCAAAGCCAACATTTACACACATTTGACAATTGCCGAGAATTGTTACATTATGCAGCATGTTACAGAATTCAATCAGTAAGGCCTCAACAATCTTGGCCTTCAACTTTTAGTGCTCTGAGCTTTTACTTTACTATGACTTAGAGGCAAACGTGTTTCAAATGAAATGTTCAATATAAGGGAGACTGATGTGCTTAAAATCGAAGAATGATAAATGAGAATGTGTCCTTTTGCTCCCTGCTCACACTGACCCAATAATCCATGATCATTTCTGACGCTAGGGGATTCCTTTCCATACTTCAATGGCATTTTTGGACAGAAACTGAGCCCTTAGCTTTAGAGACTTGAAAAGCCCACATCAGAACTTCAGGATATGGGATTCAGGCAGGATCAATGGAGTGACAGATCACCACATTAACACCCATCCCGCTATTTCACACACTTATCATTCTTGACTCTGTAAACCCAAGCTCCTAGGGCGCTGATGTGCAACAAATTTGTTCATCACATTTGCCTCAATGAGATATCTGCACTTTTCAGGTCTCCCAAACGTTTATGTTTTCATCCATGTTCTTAGTATGTTTACATTGCAAATGTTAACAGTTTATTGGCCTATGTACTGCAACCAACCAACTAACAAACTAACTACTTTTGTATTTTAAGTCTTTTAATAACAAAATGTTTATTTACAGTAACAGTCTGGCAAAAATATATTGCCATCTTGAACAGGATAATGTAACAATATGAACAATCATTTAACTATTGTAAATTAGATGTATAAAAAATGCTGACTTTAACTGAACACTCAATTTACACAATATTTTCTCAAAATATAATAAAACATATTCGAAAACCGAAAATGTAGACATCTATGTGCAGGCTATTGGAAGATTTTGGAAATTACATTAGGAAGAATGACCACTTCTGCAATAATAATAAAAAAAATGATAATTGCAACTTTTTATTTCACAATTCAGACTTTTCTTCTCAAAATTGCAAGTTTATACCTCATAATTGCAAGATAACATCTTGCAATTCTGATTTTTTTTTCCCCTCAAAATTGCTTTTGTTTTTACTGTTTATATCTATATAGCCATTTATATCGCAGTTTAAAATGGCAAAGTCTCACAACTGTTACTCACAAAGCTACTTTCACGCAAGAAAAAAAAAGAGAATTGTGGGATATAAGCTCTGGTTTTAAAAACTGGATTGAAATTATCTTCACTTTCTCAGTAAATCTTTATATTTGTGAATATAGTATGGGAATAATCAATAATATTTTGATACATCGATTTATGAATATATTTATGTGCAGTTTAATTAATTTAACATATATATTTTTTTACATTTTACTGAATGATGAAACTAATATTAATGCAACTATGATAGTGTAAATATTAATCGATATGCTACAGTAAATGTTCAAATAATTGAACCAATTTATGATATTCATCACCAACAAAAACAACAAAATCTTGTAGTAATTGTGCCATCTCTGCAACAAAATTTCCTCCTCAGTCCAACTATGAGTATAAGGGAACAGGCTGTTTTTACGGAATGTTGGCGATCACTTAACGGCTCAGAGATTGGCCAATGAAATTGCAGCAGTCCCTCATCCATCATTAGCTGACGGGGTCAGAGTGAGCCGCCCTCTCCTCATGCTAAAAACTCCAGTCTGCCCTGAATCATCATTCTCTATCACAAACCTTAATATATCCCATTGATTAAACCAATATCAGCAAGTGACACCAACCCCATTTGGCTATAAGGACATCTGTGATGAACTTGGACACAGCTTTCTCTCTCGGTGAGAAAATCATACAGTATAATTCTTAAGATTTCACTTAAAGGATATCTAGGTAATGTTTTGCATCTTAAAATAGCCCTATCATAGCCTAAAATGCAGATCACAACAAAAATCGAGACCCAAATGTAATCCTTTAAGAATGACGCTGAAGA